ATCTTTTTAGGTCCTACGTATCTCACAATTAAAAAACGAGACGCAACTCGGTGAGAAACAAAATGGACCCAGAAGCAGAAAATTCCAAGAAGCACTGTTTAGCAAGAAATCAGTAAAACAAGCTGATTTATAAAAATTCTCACTGATTTTTTTAAAAAACAGCTTTTTTCTGATTCTAAAAACAGAACAGTACCTAGACAGAAAACCAGTTAAAAATGGAAGGCCTCTCCCGTGCTAACCACCTGCACGTTCTCGACTCGGGAAAGCTTCCGCCAGAATCAAAAACCTCTCGTCTCCCAAACTTTGCTTACTCGCAGGCGCCATTTTCTACCTCATAAGTACCACCTCCCCTCCACAGTCGTCCCTGGGCCTCAGACCACGCCCCTCGGCTACGTCACCAGCGCAACCTCGTTCCCAGGCTCCAGGCTCCTCCCCCACGCAGGTCCCCGCTCCCTCCCTCAGACCGTTGGGCTCTGCGCCGCTCTTTTGCTGACGTCACAAAGCTCGCCTCGTTCCCAGCCGCTCCGGAGCAATCCGAGACCGCTCCCCGCCCCCACAAGCTGTATTTCGCAGCGCAGGCCGCGCCCCCGCCTTATGGCGCAGAACCCACCTTCTTCCCAGATTCCTAGTTTCCCTACGCAGGCCCGGCCCCCTCCAGGGCCGAAACAGGTCTCATCACAACAAACCCCATTTTGTTCTCAGGCGTCAGACTGCACCACACAGGCCCCGCCCCTTTTCTAGACGTTGCGATTCATTCAAAGGCATTTCCCCGCCCCTTTATCCCGCTGTCCCGCCAGCCACTACCCCGCCCCCGCACCCCGCAGCAGCGATCCCACGGCCCTGGGCCGCCGAGTTCCCAGCGGTTGTCAACGTCCCCACCGTCCCCTCTGCCGAGGCTCCACCGTAGCCCAGCCTCACCAGCTTTCGCCGGCCCGCAGTGGACGTTCTCGTCCATTCTCGCCGTTTTCTATCTGGCGCCACTGGTTGTCCAGACCCGGCAGTTCCCCACGCTGTGGTTCTCTATCTTCAGCCACTGCCACTGCCGCCGCCGCAGCCGCCGCCGCAGCAGCTGGATTCGCTGCGACCGTCGCCATCGCCGTTCGTTCTCTTCTACAGCCAACGCAGCTGTGCGAGATTGGAAGACGCCCCTCAACAGCCACTTCCGGATTCTAGTCCCGGAAACGGAAGCAGAGCCCCCCAAACAGTCGCGGGACTACTGCCATATTGGAAATGGCCCCGCGCTCAGACACATCGAAGGGCTAGGTGGGAACCAAGAAAGACAAAAGTGCCTTGTGGGGCTCTAACGCTATGTAGAGTTAGGGCACAGGTGGCATGAAAAGTGAAGGCTGAGGTTCCCGAGGTGGGCGAGGACCCTTACCCTGGGAGGAGCGTTTTTGTTAGTCTGATCAGAATGCCTTTCATTGTACTACCCGTAACCATCAAAACCCAATGTAAAAGGTTACCATCTCCAGAGAGCCACCTAGGCCTGCGGGCTATTGTTTCCCTTTTCTGGAACTAGATTTATTCACTAGCCAAGGTGTTGAAGGCAAGTCAGCCCCAGGCCCTATGTTTGTTGGAGTCACAGCAATCATAACTAACAGTCCGCCCAGTTTAAGTGCTTCACTGGACTAAAATAGTAGCCTCAGGCAGCAGGTACTGTCCTCGTCACCCATAGACGACAACAATGGGACTGGACTCTGCTAGCAAATGGTGGAGCGGCAGTTCAAACTTGAGAAATCTGGTTCCAGAGCTGTGACCTTAAACACCAGGCCAGTACACATATTATCCAACCGTGAGGTTCCAGGCTGTCTACCGGTCCAAAAATCCTCTTGGGGTTTCACAAAAGGAAAACTATTTTCACAATACTTTTTCACTCTCATTCTCTCAGGGGTGTACAGTGGAATTATCCGGAGGCTTCCTGAAAAAAACTCTTGAATCTCTTCAACTTTTAAGAACATAAAGGAATCCCGAGACCCAAAGTTTCAGAACCCTTGCACTAGGCCAGGGTCTCTCAGCCTCAGCACTACTGTCATTTCTTTGTTGTGGGCATTGCAAGATGTGTAGCAGCATCCCTGGCCTCTACCCACTAGATAGCAAGTAGTACCCCTCAGGACAACCAAGTGTCTCCAGACATTACCAAATGTCCTTGGGGGAAAAAAATCTCTGGTTGAGAACCACTGCAGTAGGCTATGCTAACCTCTTCTCTGTCAGGGCTGCCAGCCCTGTTGGTGATGACTTTAAATTTCAAATCTCCCTTCCCCCCGCCACAGTCTCATAATTTACCTATTTTCAGTTAACCTCTGTGGGGCAGGGATGCATCTTTATTAGACTCCAGCCCCTAGCCTAGACCTGGGATAGATGAGGGGTCACAACCCAGTTGTGTAAGCTCTGGGTGAGGAAAGGGAGCAGCCCTTTCACTTAAGGGTCCCCAAAGAAAGTGGCATTTGAGTTGGGTCAGTCACATGGCAGACAGCTGCTGTTTTTTTTTTTTGTTTTTTTTTTTTTTGTTTTTTTTTTTTGAGACGGAGTTTCGCCCTTGTTACCCAGGCTGGAGTGCAATGGCGCGATCTTGGCTCTCCACAACCTCCACCTCCTGGGTTCAAGCAATTCTCCTGCCTCAGCCTCCTGAGTAGCTGGGATTACAGGCACGTGCCACCATGTCCAGCTAATTTTTTGTATCTTTAGTAGAGACAGGGTTTCACCATGTTGACCAGGATGGTCTCGATCTCTTGACCTTGTGATCCACCCGCCTCGGCCTCCCAAAGTGCTGGGATTACAGGCTTGAGCCACGGCACCCGGCCGACAGCTGCTCTTTAAGCCAAGCTGAATCCTGTCAGATTCTCTGATTCTCCCCATTGCCCCCCTGCAGACTTCCCCTCCCCATTTATCTGGGCAGCCAGGGAAATCCAAGAGACCGCCTTCCCCAGCCCTAGACTGTTTTTTTCATCTTCCAGAGGCCAACCTCTACCCACACCAGTGACCCTACCATTTGCCAGAGCAGTTGGGTGAATTCTAGTCCTTTTAAATCCAGCCTGGCAATCTTGTCCCCTTTGCAAGGCCTTCATTTTCCCATCCTCCCTTGCTGCCAGAAGTGGCCATGTCCTCTAATTCTAGCCAAAAAGTGGCATGGGAAGTCTGCTGAGGAGCATGTGAAAGTTCCAGCCGTTAAAAAAGACAGGGAAGCCGGGCGCGGTGGCTCAAGCCTGTAATCCCAGCACTTTGGGAGGCCGAGGCGGGTGGATCACGAGGTCGAGAGATCGAGACCATCCTGGTCAACATGGTGAAACCCCGTCTCTACTAAAAATACAAAAAACTAGCTGGGTGTGGTGGCGCGTGCCTGTAATCCCAGCTACTCAGGAGGCTGAGGCAGGAGAATTGCCTGACCCCAGAAGGCGGAGGTTGCGGTGAGCCGAGATCGCGCCATTGGACTCCAGCCTGGGTAACAAGGGCGAAACTCCGTCTCAAAAAAAAAAAAAGACAGGGAAGGTGTTTTTTCCCTGCTTGCTTTTCCATCTCTGGGGACATGGCAGTCATCATGGCACCATAAAGCTGCAAGCTGAAACATCACCAAAGTGCTTACAAAGACACATGCAGTGGCTCACACCTGTAATACTATCACTTTGGGAAGCCGAGGTGGGTGGATCACTTGAGGTCAGGAGTTCAACACCAGCCTGGTCAATATGGCAAAACCCTGTCTTTACTAAAAATACAAAAATTAGCCAGGAGTGGTGGTGCACACCTGTAATCCCAGCTACTCAGGAGGCTGAGGCAGGAGAATCACTTGAACCAAGGAGGTAGAGGCTGCAGTGAGCCGAGATCGTGCCACTGCATGCCAGCCCGCATGATAGAGACTCATCTCAAAAAAAAAAAAAGGGCCGGGCGCGGTGGCTCAAGCCTGTAATCCCAGCACTTTGGGAAGCCGAGGCGGGTGGATCACGAGGTCGAGAGATCGAGACCATCCTGGTCAACATGGTGAAACCCCGTCTCTACTAAAAATACAAAAAACTAGCTGGGCGTGGTGGCGCGTGCCTGTAATCCCCACTACTTAGGAGGCTGAGACAGGAGAATTGCCTGAGCCCAGGAGGCGGAGGTTGCGGTGAGCCGAGATCGCGCCATTGCACTCCAGCCTGGGTAACAAGAGCGAAACTCCGTCTCAAAAAAAAAAAAAAAAAAAAAAAAAAGACACAGTACAGTGATTAGAGGTCCGAGTCCCCACCACTGGGCTTTAGTAAACAGCCACTTAATTAGGTTTACCATTACTTGCAGTGTATCCCTGGTCCTGCTCACCCCACCACTTCTGCTTGGAAAACAATCCTTGGCTTTGCCCAAGATGATGGGACTGGGGCTGGAACTCACAGGACAAAGGAAATAGAAGTCTTAACTCTCCTCCTACCTGAGGGCAAGTTCCAGGTTGTGTCACTGATCCCTGGCCTCTTGCAAACTCACCCATGCTCATGGTTTCCATTACTTCCTGGACACTAATAATAGAAATTTCCAGCTCCATCTATGGCCCCACTGCTTAATTTGATCCATGTATTAAAGGATTTCTCTACCTACTCAGTGATCCAAAATGTACCCTCTACCGTCCTCTTACATTCCCTCCTCTTCATGGTTTCTTAGACAGATGCTGTGGTGGTCATACTGGGCCTTTGCCTCGTCTTCCCATCCATGGTTCTATTAGGCCTTTCATTGTCTGTCAAACATTCTCTCTCCACTCCCCTCCCTCCAACCCTCTTATCAGCTTCCTCATATTCCTAGGCAAATCCAACTCCCCTTTCTGCTTTTCAGCCCATCAGCACTATTCAGCCTGCCCTACCTGCTTCAACTCCATGTTTCACTGTTACATGTGCAGTGCCCTAGATGCCTTTTTCATAATTGTGACGTGTCCCTGGCCCACTCCCAGTGTTCTAGACAACGGTGATCAGGCATGAATTCTCCAAGGTTCCAGTAGTCACCCTAGCTCAACCACCCTCCACCCCTACAGGGATTTACAAGCAAGCTTTTCACTTTAGACTTTTTAATATTTCATACAGCGATTATGGTGCATTCAGGAACCCAACCCCCCAAACCCCACTAGGAGGGCTCCCACCCCTGCCTCCCACCCCATTTCAGGGCCCCAGGGCTTAGGGTGGAGGAAGGGGAGGTAACCACCCATCCAGGGACTGACCCTGGAGACTGTCCCTGCCCTGCCTCACCCTCCCCCAGGGGATAGGGGGCAACACTTGGGCATAACCCCTCACACCCCCACCAACCCTTCTTGTGCACATACATATGCACACTATGGCTCCTTGCCAAGCTGGTCAGTTCCTGGCAGGGCCCCTACCCAACAGCACCGCGTGGGATGGGAGCAGGAGGGCTGGGCTGCGGAGACCCTGAGAAGGGAGGAGGCCCCAGCTATGGGACTGCAGGAGGGAAAGAGTGGGGCCCCCCCAACCTTGTCCATTTCCCAGAGTCTCTGGTAGTCCCTAGATCTCCCTGCAGCTGGGGATGGCAGGCAGGGTTAGGAAGGTGAGTGGCCGTGGCATGCTTTCCCATAGCTGATCCCAGGGTTTGGTGATGATCAGGGTTCCAAATAGGGGCTATGTCCCTGTCTCTGAAAGGCTGGGAGCAGGGCTTCATTGCACAAAATACTATGGGAGGGCCACACGCAGGGGGTGGGGCCCAGCCAGTCTGTATACAGAGATATTGCATTTAAAAAAATGAAAACCTCATTTAAAATAATAATTAAAAAAATGAAATAAACAAAAAAAAGGCCCACATAATATGAGGCAAGTGGGGCAGGCAGGAAAGCAGGCAGGGACGCCTCAGACTCAAGGCATTGTCACCATCTTGTCTGAGTTGAGATCCCCCGCCTGAACTAGCTCTGGACCCCTGGCTGGCCGTGGGGTAGTGGTCCTGGGGGATGGTATGATGAGGGGTAGGCCTGGCCTCAGTGTGGGAGGCTGGCACAGCCATGCTGTCCGCCGGCAACTACCAAGACAGAGACAGACAGACCAAGTGAAGGAGTGATGAGAGCTTTGTTAGCACCCAGCAGACAGGCCAATAGGTGGGTTGACAGGCCAATGGTCGGGTGTTTGGGCAGGCAGCAGGGGACAAGTGGGCAGGCGAACATGGCTCAGGCAGGTAGGCAGAGAGTAAGCAGGGAAGATGTAGTTGGGGGCTGCCCTGTGAGGGGTGTGGCATCCCTCCAGCCGCTGCCTGCTGGGGCCTCGGTCTGTGGCTTAGAACTCGGTGTCCACCACGCGGAAAGCTGGCCTGCCTGCGGGGGAAAGCAGAGCAGATGGCTGTTGGTGGGCAACCGGGTAGGTGGGTGGGACAGGGAGCAAGACAAGGGGCTACACCCACCTGAGTCAGGCATTGATGAAGACCGAAGGCTGGCCTCCTTTTGTAGCTGAATCTCCTTTAGTGCAAATATGGAAGTAGCTACAGATGAGGGAGACATAGAAGTAGGGGATGACCCATGAGGTCATCTAGGACCAGCCCCACATAACTCCACTGGAGGAATTAGAAAAAGCTGCCCCTTCTTTGAGAGGCTTGACCTTCATCTGTCAAACAATTCCATACACAAACCAGCTACAACTAGGGATGATGAAATATGGACTATTACACGACACAAAGAAATCAACATTAATTTTGTCAAATGGATTATGGTATTGCAATGACCACCTGTAAAGTCTAGGTGATGGGTGGTGCTTGGGATTTGCTTTATATATTAATCCAGTAAGGAGATAAGGAAAGTAGGCAAATTTTTTTGTAGGTTTGATAATACTGTTTAAAAAAAATATTTTGGCCGGGCGCGGTGGCTCAAACCTGTAATCCCAGCACTTTGGAAAGCCGAGGCGGGTGGATCACGAGGTCAAGAGATCGAGACCATCCTGGTCAACGTGGTGAAACCCCGTCTCTACTAAAAATTAGCTGGGCATGGTGGCGCATGCCTGTAATCCCAGCTACTCAGGAGGCTGAGGCAGGAGAATTGCCTGAACCCAGGAGGCGGAGGTTGCGGTGAGCCGAGATCGCGCCATTGCACACTCCAGCCTGGGCAACAAGAGCGAAACTCCGTCTCAAAAAAAAAAAAAAAAAAAAAAAATATATATATATATATATATATATATATATATATATATATTTTATAGTTATATGCTGAAATGAGGGATAAATGCTATGATGTCTGGGATTAGATGTGATTCAAAATCATCAGAGAGAATATAGATAAAACCAGATTGACCACTTATTGACTCATGGGAGTACTTAGGGACTTATTACATTCTTTTGACTAATATATAAATACATATATTTGAAAATATCCATATTAAAAAGTTCTTAAAAGCCAGATATAAAAAGAGAACATCACATGTGATTCTATTTCTATAAAGTACAAAGACAGAAAAAACTTATTCTTGCCGTTAGAGGTCAAAACAGTGGTCACCCTTTGGGAGGGGGCTGGGAATAACTGAAGGAGATGCAAGGGAGCTGGGGGCAAGTAGCTTCTAACATTCTGTTTCTTGACTTTTGTGCTGGTTACAAGAATGCGTTTCATTTATGAAAATTCATACTTATGATTTGTGCATTTTTTAGCACATGTAAGGAAATGTCTACTTAAAAAAGGTAAAGTGCTATTACATATATTTTTATGTATGTTTGAAATTTTTCATGAAAGGTAAAAGGAACTGAAAACTAAAAAATGTTTTCATGACAAACACAACCCATCACACATGTGAACAAGATGTCCCCCCACTTAGAGGTGGCACAGCCAGATCCTATGCAACCCGCCAGCTGGCTCCAGCAGTCCTGTTTCCCAGTCCCCACACTGGCCAGTCCGTTCCCCAGCTCCACTCACTGTCAGGAAGTTTGTGGATCCGCTCCCCCAGACTGAGGAAGAATGGATGTTTCATGGCATCTTCTGCGGAGATCCGATTTCGACCCTCAAACTGAGTTGGGGGGAGGTAGGGGATAGTATTGATATCTTCAATGAGTAGGTCTCCTGCCCATCTCAGACCCTGCCCCTGGTTGTGGGGGGGGGGTCCCTGTTTCCCCATACCTTGAATCCCTTACCCCCAACGCTGGCCCAAGGTGGTCTCACCTGCAGCAGCTTGGTAAGGAGGTCAGCCCCGTCACTATCAAGTCTGCCACAAGGACAAGGAAACCTGCTTTAAAATGAGTTTGGACACCCTGGCCCTTAACATGCACCCACCCACCAGCCTCACCGGGGTGCGTGGCTCAAAAGGGCCTCGGCTCGGTACTTGGGGTAGTTGTAGGTCTTGAACTCCTCATTGGACAGGATGCCTGGCCACGTCTCCTCAGTTGGGGTTCCTAGTAAGGAAGAGGAGTTACCTCAAACATCTCACAGGTCTTCCCTGTGTGTCTCCACAGTGCCTTGGGCCCATGCCTCCTCACCTAAGATGCGGAAGATGAAATGCAGTTGTTCCTCCACCGTGGAGCCTGGGAAGAGGGGCCGGCCTGTGGCCATCTCATAGAAGATGCAGCCCACACCCCTGAGCAGGGAGGGCACAGTGAAGAGAGAGACAGCTGGCTGGGTGGCTGTTGTGACCAAGCCACCCCCCTTACCACATGGTCCCCACCACACTTCCACCTGGCCTTACCACATGTCAATCTGAGTGGAGTAGTCCGTGGACCCAAGCAGGATGTCAGGGGGACGGTACCACAGTGTCACCACCTCATTGGAGTACGTCTTTGTTGGGATTGACTTGGCCCGGGCCAGACCTGGGAAGCACAGAAAGGACAGCTGGAATGAGAAGGTCATGGGCCAAGTCTGGGGGAGAGTGCAGTTGGGACCGATGGTGTTCTAGGCAAAATCTGGCGAGGCTGAAGGGAAATGAGATTAAGTGGTCATGGGAAAGTAGGAGGCTGGGGGGCCGATGAGAAGAAGCGGGAGGCCAGTGGTACCAAAGTCAGCCAGTTTGAGCTCTCCTCTCTCATTGATGAGCAGGTTCTGGGGCTTGAGGTCTCGGTGTAGCACCTTCTGCCGGTGGCAGTAGGCCAGGCCACGGAGCAGCTGGAACAGGAACAGCTGGGGACCCAGGAATGGCAGGCAGAGGTCAAAGACTATCCACTAGCCCGACCCCCAGCAGGCACTGCTCCCCTCCCAAACACAGACACTGGGCCCAGAGCCTTGTCACACAAAAGAGGACAGGGTCCCAGTGCCCTCCAGGGGCTCCCAGCAAAAAAAGCCAAAGGGAAAAGTCCGTTTCTGGGAGATTTGTGGGTTGGAGTGGGTGAGTGGGGGCCCCCTTGTGCCCCTGCTTCCTGCCCCACACCCACTTTCACGTTGTGCATGTTGATGATGTTCCCACAATCATCCAGGTACTGCTTCAGGTCCTTGTCCTGATGAAAGAAGAGGTGGTACAGAAATGAGGATTACTTCCTATGGCTCCGGGCTTTCTCCCCACCTCCCCCTGGGATCCACTACCACTCAACCTTACCAGGTACTCAAAGACAAGGGTGAGGGACTTCTCCGTGTGGATAATGTCATGTAGCGTAACAATGTTGGCATGTTTGAGGTCCTTGAGCAGGGACACTGCAGGAAGCATGGGAGTAGGACAAGGGAAGAGTCAGGGTCCTATCCTCAGGACAGAGGTGAGGACAAGGACTAGAAAGGGACAAGCCCAGGTTTTCTTTCTCCAGACAGTTCAGGGTAATGCCTTGAAGCCACCAGCTCTAACCCACCTCACGCCAGAAAGAAGTTGTGTCTCCATTTTCCAGATGTAGAAAATAAGACTCAGAGGAGATTATGGAGCAAGAACCTGGGATTGCAGCTCCAGGCTCATTTGGCACTAGATTTTCACAACCTGCTTTTGGTGTCTGGAAGGGGCCTGGCTCCAACCCTCAGTACATAGACCTGGAGCATCATGTGAAATTGAATTCAAATTCATTCCATGTGATATTCTGACTAGAAATTGTTGCTGTAAATAAATTAGTGGCTACTTTCAGGGGTGTTCTCAGAACCAAAGCTAGCAACCTCGTTTGCAATTCATCCACCTTTTATCCAAATGGGAACAGATTCCTGGTTATCCTGATTATTACCTGGATACGCGGGTGACAGGCATTCCCATGAAAGCCAGAGTGTTTTGGGGGGTCCTAGAACTAGTCTTTGTTCTCATTATGTAGCGTGTGCACCATGAGGTGGGTCAGGGAAGCCTGGGGCAGGTGGGATGGGGGTGTGTACCTTCCCGGATGGCGGTGCACGGTGCCCCCTCTTCATGTTCCAGTCTGATCTCCTTGAGCGCCACAAGGTTGTCTGTGAGCTTGCTTTTGCCTTTGTAGACGGTGGCATAGGTACCCTGGAATATAAGGAAGTGTGACAGGAGAGGTGCTATGAAATTCTAGGAGTTCCCACTGATCTCTATCCCCATCAGGGGCCTCCAGGCTGCCTCTCACCTCGCCCAGCTTGTCCAGCTTAATGTAAGTCTCCAGTTTCCCAAAGCCAATCTCAGACTGTAGGACAAAGGAAGCAGGTTGAAGCAGGCTCAGGAGAAGGGTCTGGGAGAGGAGGAGAAAACGGAGAGGACGGGAATAGAAGACACTTACCAGGCTGACACGACGGAGGCGGCGGCTGAGTGGCTTGTCAAAGATGGGGCTATTGAGGGTCAGCTTCTCAAGGTAGCCCTCAGGTAGCCGGATGTCAGCTGGTAGCGACAGGCGCTTGTTGATGTCCTAGCACGTAAGGTGAGAAACGGGATCATGAGCTCCACCTCCCCGGGTCCAACCCCCTTTTCCAGCTCCTTCACCAACCGGACAGGGCATTACACACCTCAGTGGAGATCTTGCGTGGGGGATGGTTGCGCATGCGCACTCTCACTGGAGACTGCACCTCATCTGAGGATGTGGCTGAAGCCTGGTCACTCTCCCCATCAGACCCCATCTTCAAGTCCTCGTGCACAATCTCTGGTGGCAGGGAGAGGGGTAGGGCAGGCCAGGTGGGGTCAGGAACCACAGGACACCCCCTTCCCCATGAAACATATTCCATCATCACATGTGTACACATGGCCCCCAGAGCAAACCTGGAGTCCCTCATGGAGAGGGTGATGGGGCCCAAGTACATCTAGGACAGGTTGAACTGGTGGGGGGAGTGCAAAAGTCACCTAGTGGAACCCTCTCTTCTAAGGGCAAATTGAGCTCAGAGCCAGTAGCTAGGTGGTGGTGGGGGTAAGCCAAGGGCCCTGGGAAGGCAGGCCCAGGGCAGGCAGGTACCAGAGGCCTGAGGAGGCTACCATAGAGGGCAGAAGGGCAGAGGGAGCATTGGGGCAACTGTGGCAGGCAAGGCACCCTCTGCCCCCCACCACGGGGCCTGGCCAGAAAGGCAAGGAAAGGAGTGCAGATGGACAGATAGACAGAGGGTGTTGAGAGAAGATGGGAGGGAAGGGGAAGAAGAGAGCACGGCGGGGAGGGGTAGAGAAGGGACAGAAAATAGAGGGGGGGGGCAGAGAAGGGACAGAAAATAGAGAGGAAAATGAGGAATGTGGTCAAGAGGCAGCACCTGGGAAGCAGCCTGGGATCATATGGGAGAGGGAGTAGCTAGTGGACCCACCTGGTGCAGAGCTGAGTGGGCCCCGTGCAGAGCGAAGTTCCCCAGGAGCAGCACGTGTTGGGGCCTCTCCAGGGTCACTGCCACCACCACCGCCACTCTCATCCAGGCCTATCTGCTCAGTGGCACCATTGGTCTTGTCTATGCTTCGGCTACCTCGGAGTGTCATTGACAGCTGCCGTTTGATCTTCTTCATCCGATCCATGGCGATCTAAGCAAGGGACAAGGATGAAAATGGGTCTCATATTAGCATTTGCTTGATTGCCATGGGTCCCCTTACGCCCACAACCTAGCAGGGAGCACTGACATGAACTTGTCAGTGCTCACTCAACCACTATGGACCCCCTAGGGCCACTAGGAATTTCTGGAAACCCAGCATGGTCGGGGATCCTTGTCAATACTTGCCCACCCACACTGCCAGCCCCCCCCGGGACCCTGCTCCTAAGTAGCCCACCTGAGTTCTTGGATTTAGGTGGCTGACTGAGGGCAAGGGCCCACATGATGGATTGTTGGCCTCTAGGGGAATAGCCCCACTGCAGGAGAAAGCTCCATAGCAGCTCTTCTCGGGTACAGATGCAGTGATGGGGCCAGCCATGGGTCGAACAGGGCGTTGGCCCAGAACTGAGGGATGGATGACATGGCCTCGAGTACGCCCGTAGAGCGGCATGGTTCCCCTGGCACCACCCCTGAAGGTCAAGGCAGACTATTCCCTGTGCCCACAGGGACCCTCCCCTCCTGACTCCTCTAGCAATCATCGTCATGACAACCACCGCATCATCCCATTGATCTACCCAGGTAGGGGGGATTGTCAGGGTGTCCTGCCCAGACCCAACCACTGAGTGGGATTGTTGCGGGGGAGGGCAGAATGTCTCAGTGTACACCAGCTGTTCTCAGGGCTGCCAGAAAGGTTTGAGTAGGTTAGGATCCCTAGGGTCTAATCCAGACTTTTACAAGCCAGGTCACATTTCTCCTCTACTCAAGAATGTACTACATTTCTCATCACCCCAAATACATGCCCCAGTCCTCAATGTGGCCCGCGGGTCTTTACCTCATTTGTCCCTATTACCTCTGACACCCCACCTTCCCCCAACATTCCTAGTTGCTGTTCTGTAACCACACCCATCAGAGTCCCACCTCAGGGCCTTTACACTGGTTGTTCCTGGTACCTGGAACACCCTTCCCCTAAATTTTGAAATGGCTCACTCCCCTCTCCCTTCAGGCCATTGCTCAAAAGTCACCTTTTTCAGGAGGCCTCCATGAATGACCCTATTTAAAATCTCAACCATCCCGAGCTCCCTCACCTTGCCAGTTATCCCCCCCAGCACTCATTACCTCCTCAGAAATGATACCACCTACTTATTGGTGGTTTCTTTAGTCTTTACTGTCTATCTCCTCACCGCCACAACTAGAAGATCAGCTCCGCCAGGGTAGGTTTCTGTGTTTAGATCACGGCTATATCCTGAGGACCTGGAATAGTGACTGACACAGAGTAGATGCTCAAAAAGTGCTTATGGCAGAAAATAGTGAATCAGAGGGCTGAGGGCCTAGGACCAACCTCTGCTGAGGTGTTGAGTCCCTGCTACTCATTGAACAACCCTCAACGGGGTAGCTCAGGGATGCTGGCATCAATAGGAAGATGACCTAGATGGATTGCTGAAGGGAATGGGGCCACCAAAAGGCTTAGGCCAGCCTTCTTCTGCTTCCTCCTGGGCTCTGGGCCAGCAAGGAGGGGGAAAGACCTGGTCCAGGAACCATCTGGACTCACAGCAGGGCCTAAGATGGCCCTGGGCCCAAGGGAAGTAGAGCTAGATAGGAGGTCGAGGATGAGACGGGCTGGATCTGAGGAGAGAAATGGGTCATCTGCTACCTTGAAATCAGGTGCTTCCCCCAGCAGTTCCCACTCCAACTCCCCTCTGGCTGAACTCACTATTCCCAGGAGGGGTAGGGGCCAGCCTAGCAGAAAGACCTCAGATAGAGGATGAGGTCCAACCATGGAGAACCCAGGATAATGACAAAACATCCTGACCTGGGATGCTGAATACTGGACCTAAGGTGAGGAAGGTAAAGCATGGCCAACTCCCAAAGACAACCTGTGTCCCCATATGGCACAGATACCCAATTGCTTTGCATGTTGTGACAGGGAGTAGGGGAGGGCCGGGAGAGACTGGAAGTAGGGCTGAATGGAGGATGGGGAGGGAGCCAGCAGGAGCCATGGGACCACGACCTCTAACTGGAAACCCCAAGGGCTGTACATGCTCTGGAGTTCAGTTTTTTTGAAATTTTAGGAAGACGGGGTACAAAATCTTATTTCACATAACAAACACTCCCAGAAAGGGGGATGGGGGGGGCTCAGGCAAGCCCCTGTGAACAGATACTTGAACATTTATATGCAAAGAAACTTAAATATCATTTCAGTTGTCTGAGTTTTTTAGATTTCAAAAAAGTAGAGGGAGCAAGAAACTGGACATAAAACCTCAACCCCCAAAAAAGGGCACATGTCCTGCCTAACCCTTCTGATCCCCAGACATATACCCATCCTCAGCCTACTCTCATGCTCAAGGATACTCACCACACTGACCACTAAGGACTCGATCATCACACTCTATGTCCTGATCCCCATTAGTACATGCTAGACTCTCAAGGAGGCCTCACTACATCTTACCTGCTATCATCTCATATACCCATCAGCATTCAAAGCCCTAACACATAACATATCGCCCTGAACTCTGCCAGCACACACTCAGCCTCCTCTTAGTAACTCTTGCTATCACATTCTTGGGCTCCTCCCTGGCCTAGCTGCTTGCCAGCTTCTCTGTAGCACTGACCCGCCTCGTTAACATATTGTTCCCCTCTACATGATTCTGACCTCTATTAACATGCACTTGGGGTACTCTATAGCTGACCCACATTGGACCTTCTTCACGCAGTGGACCTTCTTCACGCAGCCCTGAATGCCATTAACATAAAGTAAACCTTACAGATAGCTCTCTAACCAGTATTACCCACACTCAGGCCCCTTCACAGCTATGACCATTGCTAACACACATTCCAGTCCTTCCACTGTCCTGTCCCCTCAGTCAGCACAAACTGAGCCTTCACTCAGCCCTGATTCCTATTAGCACACGCTGGGCCTCACACAGTCCTGCCTCCACATGAGCGCACCCTGAACCCCTACTCAGCCCTATTCCCCAGGGACACACAAACACACTGTTCTACCATGGCCTGACCCTCATTAGTGCACATAGGTCTCCATTCAGCCCTGACTCCCATTAGCACACAGTTCAGCCCTCCCTAGCTGTAATCCACTTTAGCACAGCGAGATCATCACACATTCCCATCCTCTATATCTCTCTGCTCCGACCCCTCCAGATATAATCCCTGTTGGTCCATACTTGGATCCCTTCATGAAAGCCCTGATCCCCCTTATTACACACTAGATTCCCTCCACAGCCCTACCCCCAAGTAACACTCCCTGGAACCTCAAAACACTCTGGTCCCCTGCAGACACAAGGTCCCCTGCAGACACACAGAGGCACAATCTTCCGCTAGGTTCTGACGCTTATTAGCATATTCCAGACCTCAAACTGATTCTCCCAATGGCACACATTGAAGTGCCTCTATGGCTCTAAACCCACATTAGCAACCACCAGAACTTCTTATATTATTCTGCTCCTTCCTAGTGTGCCTTCGAGACTCACATTCCCTGTGTTCGTGGACACACAGATCACATCACCTTGACCCTTTGTGCACGGAGCCTCTGACAGTGCTAAGACACTTCCCTCCCCACCACCCCTTTCCAGGCCCACAGACACACAATTCTCATCTCCCTTAGGCCAGGCTCAGGTCTTTCACTGTCCTTCCGCCATTAGATACCCTCAGATCCCTCCTCCACTCAGCCCTCATCAGCATATACTGGGCCCCAAACTACCCAGACCTTTGTGGCCACAGGCATACACCCTCTACAACCATGACCCCCACTGGCGCACACGCCACACTCGAGTCCTTCAACTACCTGCCCTCCACAAGCACACACTGCACTCTCACACACCGCAGGCCCCAGGGACAGACACGCAGTATTAACACCATCCCGGCCCTCATCGCCACGTGCCAGGTCTCAGGGCCCTGATCCCATTAGCACACGTTCTGGTACCTGTGCCACCCTGTCTCCCATAAACACACACCGGGCCTCTCTGCGGACATAATCCCTATGAGCATGTCTTGGAACTTCCTCGACATCCTACCCGCCGTTATACACCTTCGGGTCCCTCACCCGCTCCGCACCCCGCCCTCCTTCCACAAGCACACACCGCACACCGGGCCTTGAACCTTACACAGTCGTGAGGCTTAATGCCACATGCCCCGACCCCCGTTAGCAACCCCCCAGTCTTTCACCCCACTGCCACCCATTTCCACACCCTTTGGTCCTTTGATTCCCCCTGCTCCCCATTAGCACCCACAGCACTTCCCATCCCCAGTTCCCAGGACGGGCCCAGGGCGGGGCCAAGGTCAGGGAGGCCCCAAATGACCCCCCGCCCCGGTGCATTCTGGGAAATTCGCCGGGGGTGGGGGCACCTGCCAGCCCAGACCCCCGGGCACCGCCCGGGGTGGGTTCCGAAGGAGGAGGGGCAGCCCCCACGCCTCGGGGACGCGCTCACCGGCGGGGGCGCGCGAGCAACCTCAGAGCCGCGGGGCCGGCGCGGCGGCGCCTGGGGCGGCGGCCCGGGATGAGGCCGCGCGACCTCCTTCTCCTCCTGTTCGCCGCAGGCGCCCGTCCCAGTAGTCTTCGGCCATGGTTGCTGGGCCCGGGCCGCCGCCGGCTGAGGAGGAGGAGGCGGCGGCGGCGGCGGCGGCTGAGGCGGAGGCGGCGTCCCGCTCAGCCGGCCATGAACTTGGCCGCTGCGGGCTATGCCCCCGGGCTCGTTGGCGCCGGCTCGAATCCGAGTGCTCACGGCGGCTCGCGGCTCAGAGCCGGCTGATCGCGGAGTCGCGGCGGATCCCAGGGCCGAACAGCCAACGGCCCAACCGCCGCGCGCGCCGCGCTCCGCGCATGCGCACGCAGGCGCTGGGCAGGGTGAAGTGGAGAGGAGGGGACTCACCTCGGACTGCCTGTACCAAAGGAACCGTCCGCAGCGGGAGGGGACGCGGCCATTGCGAGCCCACAGGGGGATGCGGCGCCGGGCCGGGGACGGCACCAGGGAGAAGTGTGGAGGCTGTTTAGTACTCAGTTTCGATCTTGGCAGAAGTTTGCTAGCGCCAAGGAGAGCAGCGGCCAGTAACCTGGCGCGTCAGTCACCACTCGCTCCCCCTACTCGGTCTCTTTTGGTACATCCCCATGGTGCCAAACGGGACTTTTGCAGAAAGGAAAGACAAACGAAGCGTTCAGTTCTAGTCCCTTGAGGTGCTTGGGGAGGAAGGAATTTTAAAGGTTCGCGAGAAGATGACTTTTCGAGGAGAGGCGGCCTGAACAGTTATTGGCCTTTACCACCTTAGCTAGGACAGCCTATCCCCGCCCAACTGCCCCCTCCACCGCTACCTCATTCCCATAGTTAACGTGTGCAGCCCTGCCCTTTGAGGTTGTCGTCCAGCCAATCGGAGTTGCTCCCTGTGGCGAGGCCGAGCAAGAATAAAGGGCGTGGCTGACTGAAGAGGCGTGATTTTGCTTCTCTACCCAACTCCGCACGCCTCCGCCCGGGTTTCATAGGTTTTCACCGTCGGAGGAGGTGGGGTCTCCTTTTTGTTCTGAGCTTCTCCTTCACTATAGGCCGAATATTCCGCGACATGATTGGTCATAATTGCTCTCAATTGGGTCTGGTCCTGCCTTTAGCCCGCCTTCCATTTCCTATAGCGGGCCTCCCGGGGTGGAACCGAGGCTGACGAGGGAGGAAAGAGGCGGATCCTTAGAGATGCGGGAGCCACTACTGCGCATGCTTGGAACTTCGCGCGAGGCGGAGCTTCTTTTCTGCCTCACGCTAGTATTTGCATAGGCGCCCTGCGTTGGATCTTTCTGCCACCTCTCTTGTCCGCCACAGCGCCCTCCGTGCCTCACCTCACTCTGCGGGTTTTTTCTTTTGTTTTGTTTTGATGTCACTCCACACAAGTGGAACACTCCGCGGTTTTATTTCCATTTTATTTATTGGGCGCCTGTTGTGTGCCAAGCACTACCAGGCCGACCTAATCCCTCACTTCCTTCTGC